ACCAACTTTAGCCTGGACCTATTTAAGTGCTACAGTGCACATTTCTGGGCTCCACTGCAGAAATTCTGAATCAGAAATGGGACCCAAGAAATTGCATTTTTTGACTACCCCAGGGTATCCTAATGCAGGTTACTCTTAGGTCATACTTGGGGACAGAGTACTCTAGACCATGAGCAGGGCCGAGCCTTCAAGGTAGGGGCCAAGAGGCCCCAGCTATGAGACTGTGCAGGGCCTGACAATCCAAATGCAGAACATCTTGTTCTATTACCAGTTGACATCAAATCCATTCGACTCACGGCAACCTCATGTGTGTCAATGGCTAATTGATTATTTGGAAGTAGATCCCAGTCCTTTCTTCTGAGATGCCTCTGGGTGGATTCAAACCACCAACCTTTCTGTTAGCAGCCAAGAGTGTAAACCATTTGCACCACCCAGGGACTGCTTGAGTTGATTTCTGACTCATAGCGACCCTATAGGCCAGAGTAGAACTGCCCTGTAGGGTTTCCAAGGAACGGCTGGTGGAATCGAACTGCTGACCTTTTGGTTAGCAGCCAAGCTCTTAACCACTGCACCACCAGGGCTCCCTTGTACTATTAGAGTTGGTTAACTGATAGAAGTATCTTCAACTATAAGAAAATAAAGTATCAAGTCATACTTGCTACTGGTGGGCTTTAATACTGGGTCATACACAGTTCAGCTTTTATAGTATTTCTTCTCTTTGGCACAGCAATTCTACTTAAAAAAAAAAAAAAAATTACCCTAAGGGCATAATCAGGTTTTATTCAAAACATGGGTGGGATTACAGAAATTATTTAAGAGTCCTGAATAAATAAGAAGAGGATGAAGCTACTTTTAATAACTCTTCCTTAAAATGCTGGCTACGAGTAAAGAACATGAAAGGAGAGAGCGCTCTACTTCATGTCCCGCATATTCAGACTTTGTTTTCCAAATGTTTTCTGGTTACCATGGCAACTTCTGAATTTCTCCTTGTGTAAATGGGAAACAGGGAAACTTGTTTAAAAAAAATGATTAGTATATTCTTTTCATCCTGCTAAGCTCATTCTGTGCTGACAAATTACATTTTGACAGCTAGGTTGTAATCCAAAACATGCTTTTTTAAAGGCTCTGAATAATAAAGTATTTCCAGAGATTGACAGTTATTCTTCATTTATATTTTATATGTATTTGCTTTCATTGAATTCAAGAGATAAACTAAAGTGTGAAATAATTGTTATACTTTTTAAATGATTCAGAAATACATCCTCACTTTCAAATGTGACATATGTCAATTTGATTATTTTACTTGTGAAGTTTGGTATAAGGACAGAACATAAGCTTCTGAATCATTCAGGCTTGCTCTGCCACTTACTAATTGTGTGTGACCTTGAGCAAGTAGTTTGATTCTTTGAGCCTCAGTTTCCACTGACAAAATTAGAATTAGAAATTATATATGTTTTGTATATATATGTGTTATGTATATATATGTATATATAACGTCTACATATATATATATATATATATATATATAAAAAAACCAAACCCATTGCCGTTGACTCATAGTGACCCTATAGGACAGGGTAGAACTGCCCTGTAGGGTTTTCAAGGAGCAGCTGGTGGATTTAAACTGCTGACCTTTTGGTTAGAAGCCAAATGCTTAACCACTGCGCCACCACGGCTCCACATATATATGATGCCTACATACATATATATAATGTCTACAACATTTACATGGATATATAGTATATACCGTATTTTCGCAAATAACGTGCCCACATAAATAGCATGCCCACACACACAACACTCAGTATAGTTTGCTTATGAAAATAGCGGGTGGTGGTGGGGTTGTGTAGTTGGCAAAAACATATAATGTATGTGTTACTTGCATAAAAGTATGATATCTATCTATCTATGTCTATATAGATATATATCTATATATGTATGTATAGGTATATATATATAGATATGTATGTATATATGTGTATATACAGATACAGATAAAAATGCATACACACACACATATATATATATAAAATATCTACAACAATGCCAAGTATATCAAACGGGTTCTTAGTATAACTTGGTAAGTACTGTTACCAAAGAAAACATAAAAGCAAGCACAGAAGGATGCAAAAGTTATTAGGTCTGGTTTAAAAGAAACCAGGCTTTACTCAGGAAAAAAAGGAATAAATAGAAAAAATTTATGCACAACCAGCAATGTTAGAATTGGACTTCCTCAGTTTCAGCTATGTATGGTACTACTATTAGACACAGATCAGTAAGTAATAGGAAAAGACAGATGGAATTTGTAAGGTGGTAAGAACATGACTTAGATAAGGTTGTATAGTTGCATTAAGAAATCTGAGTTTCTCAAAACTTTACAAACAGTAGTCTGAAAATATGCAGTCAGCTGAAGTTAAGGCATAATTTTCCAACAGCAAATGGCACAGTTTTAAGCAATGGAGCCCTGGCAGCATAGAGGTTAAGAGCTTGGCTGTTAACCAAAAGGTTGGCAGTTTGAATCTACCACCTGCTCCTTGGAAAATCTATGGGGCAGTTTTACTCTGTCCTATAGGGTTGCTATGAGTCTGAATCAACTCAACAGCAATGGGTTGGTTTTTTTTTTTTTTTTTTTTTTTTTTTTTTAAGCAATGGAGGCCATGGTGAAACAGGACAAGAGTCCTCCATAACCCACTTAAGATGAGGGCACATAATTCATGAGGCTTATACTTCTCTAGATATGCGTCACCTCTGGAGGAAGGTTAGCATTGACACAGGGACAGATTCACCCACTTGGTTTCCAATGACATTTATGAATATACCTCCTTGTTCATGTTTCATTGTGGGCATGACCCACCTACATTCTGTGTCTCTTGGTTTTCTGCTTATTAAACTGTGTATGGAAGAACAGGATTTAGTGGGACATGCCAAATCTATAGTAATTCTATTCTCTAAATCCTAATCTGCCTTTGTTCCTTAATCTTCAACAATTATGACAACTAAGAGCACAGATGCAAAAAAATTTAAAGCAAAACAAGATATTGTGTAATTAAAAACTATACAAGCTTTCTTGGAATGAAAATAACAATTCAAGGGTCCTTAAATACATGTTTATTTGTTTGTTTTTTGATGCTTGGCTGCTAACTGAAAGGCTGATGGTTAGAGTCCACCCAGGGTCACCTTAGAAGAAAGGTATGGTGATGTACTTCTAAAAAACTAGCCACTGAAACCCTATGGAGCACAGTTCCACTTTGACACACATGGGGTTGCTATGAGTTGAAATCGACTCAACAGCAACTTCTTTTTTCTTAAATGCTCGTTGGAGTCCCTAGGTGGTACAAACAATTAATGCACTTGACTGCTAACCAAAAGGTTGGAAATCTGAATCCACCCAGAGGTGTCTCAGAAGAAAGGCCTAGAGATCTACTTCCAGAAAAACAGCCATTGAAAACCCTATGAAGGACAGCTCTACTCTGACACATGTGGGATCACCATGAATTGGAATGAACTTGGGGTCAACCAGTTTTTTTTTTTTAAATACATATTATATGTGACATATAAGCTCAACCTATTTAAATCAGCCAGCCTATTCAAAAAGACTGATGCAGAACTGATAAAAAACAAAACAAAACAAAACAAAACAAAGCTAAGACTCCAACACAATAACAGATGTCAACACCATGCTTTCACTATCTGAATTTGGTTTCTATTTATCTATCTTGAATCTAAGGTAGTATATTCCAGAGAGTTGAAATGGGGCAGAAAAAAGACAACTTGATGGAGATTTTTCTCAGACTGTGTACCCTCCCAGCTTTCTAACCCACTGCTTGTTATCAGAATCCAGGTAAAAACATGGAACTCTGGAAGAATGTTTTAAAAAGGAAAGCACCAGTGCTAACACTAACTTTTTCACCACCACCACCAACACCCCATTCCTTTCACTAAAGTGTGGCTGTATGAGAACTTCCTGACTCTCTATCTCTAATCAGTGATTGGTTAAGGTTTGGGCCCCAGACCAAACTGGGTCAATCATGGCCTCTGCCTAAGGTTGCCAGGTAAAATACAAGATGCTCAGAGTTGAGTTTCAGATAAACAACGAATAATTTTTAGTATAAGTATGCCCCAAATATTGCACTGAGACATACTTATACTACACACAATGACATTTTCCCCAGATCTGCCAATAATAGCTGCAAATGCACAGAGCACTTCCTGTGTTCCATACATTGTTCTAAATGCTTTATAAACACTAACTCATTTAATACATGAAAATATATGGATATATAAATATATGTCATATGGACAATTTGAATTTAGGACTGTATATTTTTAAATTTAAAAACTTATGCAAACTTTCTATAATTAGGAGTCCCTGGATGGTGCAAACTGTTAACACACTTGGCTGTTAACCTAAAGGTTGGAAGTTTGAGTCCACCTAGAGGCACCTTCAAAGAAAAGCTTGGCAATCTACTTCTAAAAATTCAGCCATTGAAAACCCTATAGAGCACAGTTCTAGTCTGACACACATGGGGACACAATAAATTGAAATTGACTGACAGCAACTCAAGGCAATTCTGACTCACAGCAACCCTACAGGACAGAGTAGAACTGCCCCATAGGGTTTCCAAGGAGTAGCTGGTGGATTCGAACTGCCAACCTTTTGGTTAGCAGCCAAGCTCTTAACCACTGAGCCACCAGGGCTCTTTAGTAATGAGTTGCCACTGTTTAGCTTCAAATATTTATATAAAAATGCAAGTAAAAGGCAGACAATGTAATAAAGTAAAGCAGTGGGTTGAGAGTCTGGAGGTCTAGCTTTTAGTCCCTGCTCATTAACTAACTAGTGAGGATGGGTAGAGGAGGGCAATTTTCCTCAATTCTTTGAATCTAGGTTTCCTGTCTATAAAATGAGATTTGGCCAAGATTATTTTAAGGTCTTTGCTGCCTCTAAAATTCTATTATTTCTTATAATATGGAAAGAGCTCTTGCAGAGAAAAGTCTATTACCTCTGCAATCATTCTGTTGGTGTCCCCTAAGAAAAGCAGATTCAGAGCTTCTTCCTCTGTGGTTGCCTGATGAAGAGACAGGTTTTTCAGGTGAATGTTCTGATCAGGGTCCTCCAATATTGTCACTTTCCTAGGGAAATGGGAAGCAAGAAAAACACGGTACTGTTGAGAATGAAAAGAACTTGGTGTCTTTCCTACAGGTTTATTTTTCAAAAGCTGTACAGTATGACGGCTTGAACCTATAAAATCAAATAATACACAAGATACGAGACAGCACTGGATTAGCATCAAACACTGACATTCCCTTGATAGTACTATCAAATAGCTTTGGGGCTAACAATTATATTATGAGCTCCTGATTTAACACCACCTGTCTTTGTAATCATCAGATCACTAAATCATCTTAAAATTTGTACTCTTGCTGAATTAAAAATGCAAATAGATAATAATCTTCCACCTATATGTCAGGAAACTAGGTCATATCAATTCTTCTGTGTCATAATTCAGTTTCTTATACATGTAATGCACTAATTCTCCCTCTAATTTTTCCCTTTTGTCCAATTTCATACCACTTGCAATTTATATGACATTTTAAACTGGTTAGCTCATCAATAACTTAAACATGATGAGAACAGTGGTATCTGTCATCCCTTAGGAGTTACTCCCCTGTCTAGTTTTCTCATCAGAGTGAGTAAAAAAAACTCAAGAAGCCTTTATAAGAACGTTTTAGTTTGTTATTATTATTTGTATGCCCATCAAATATGATATCTTGATCCTTTTTCCTTTACAACATGACTTTTTCTTCCATTTCATTCTTAGAGTCAGAGCTTAGGTCTGGAATTACATTCATCTATTAAAACTGCCTTAATGGGCAGCCTGGTGTCAACACCATTTCCTCCCAGGTGAATCCTAACCCTGTTTCCAGAGTTGGCTTGTCTAATACGCTCCTTTAAAATCCTTTTAGGACTCTCTGCAACTGAACAAAATTTGGCCAAGTTCCTCATACGCTGCTTCAGAGGTCTACAGATTTGAGCCATAAAGTTACTAGAGAGAGTTTCCTTCTGCCTCTAGAGAAGTAAACTGAATTTCTTAAAAACTTAAAGAAAGGGGACCTTATAATTCACAAGCATCACCAAAGAATATCTCCAGGTGTCTTCACTTGCTTACAACATTTGGAATTGATGAGGTGATAAATAAACGCTGGCATCATCTAGTACTACTTCTCCGTTAAAAGTAGAACTAGCAAATGGACAAGTATCACTTGCTTATTTATAAGAACATACTTAGAACACCTTAAAAATGAAGATTTGGACATACCATAATTTTTTCATCCTACCCTTTTGCAAGGAGGTTATCTGAACTTTCATATGTAATTTGTGAGCATTTAAAATAGTAACTGCAGGGAGAAAATGGAGCTCTACCAGCACATCTGTGACCAATATGGCACTAATAATGTACTCCTTTGCCAAGTTTTGGACTCCTTTTTGTCTCCTTCAACAATACCAGCTAAGATGGAAAAAGATTTATTTGCTTAATGAAAACAAGTAACTTATTTATTTTTCAATAAGACTCATAGTTGAGCTTATTAAAAATGCTTCGCAGTTCAAAAATGTTTGAAAAACAGGAAAGCATTTTTTAACTGAAATGGATGAGTTGTACTCTATTTTTAGGAACCCCCTTTATTCCTTAAACTTTATTTTCACCCTGATCCTTCTGAAGTGCTTGAGAAGTAAAGGCTTGGTAAAATTCAAACCCCAGTGACACAGAAGTCAGAATTCTTCCTAAATCTACAGGTTCTGGGCTTAAAGGGTGAAAGAAGTTAAGTAATACTGGAAGGAAGATAAAGGCATGAAATAAGTGACAGGAAGGTACATTAAAAGCGAGAATGAAAGAGTTCTTTTTCAACACGAAGTCCAAAACAAATTCTCCAACTCTGTGGCAAAGTTGACACTGATACATGTTGTAAGACTAAGGCAGAATACAGTCCTATTCCTGTGCAAGTTGGGAAAAGGGAGAGGTAGGGCAGCAAGGAAGGGTCCAAAGAAGCACTCACACCGATGAGCACCAAATGTATGCCAGGCACCCACATCGTTTCTAATCCAGTTGGCTTTGCCTGGCTGCACATAGGAACTATTTGGAGAACTGAGGGTCCTAGTTTGCACTCTAAGAGATTCTGATTTGATTGTTCTGTGGTGTGGCCCAGGTATCAGAATTTTTTTTTTTTTTTTTTTTAAATATTTTATTGTACTTCAGGTGAAGGCTTACAGAACAGATAGTTT